AGTTCGAAAACTCACGTGAGTAGATAAATGGGTACTCTCACTCTGGTGGGAGGAAAAATGCTGGCGGTGCCTTGCAAAAGGAGTTGGGAGCAGTTGTCGGTAGCGCGGAAGCTGCGCACGCCCGAAAAAGGCGCAAAGCAACAGAAACCCCGCCTCCTGCGCTCGCCAGCTGGGCTCTGCTCTAGGAAGGAGGCCATGGCAAACCACTTCCGAAACACCTTGCCTTGAAAACTGCAAAGGACTCGTCCAAAAGCAGTCACTGCAGAGTCCGTAACAACTGAGTGCAGATTAAAAAAAAACAAAACCTTTTTGCTGCAATCACACTCTGTCCACCAGGAAGAAAAAAATATCCAATATGTCTAGAACTGGAGTGGCAGTGGCTGGTGGCTGAAGCATCCACAGATCTCATGGAGAATTCTTTTGCCCACTCATTAGCTACATTATTTTGACAAACTACATTTGTTTACTTGATTTTACTGGCTTAGGAATGGGCACAATTAATGAACACATCAAAACTGGGCAAAGACTCTCCTGACCATGATTCCCACCTGCTAATCCAGCACAGCTGAGAGTCCAGGGGAAGCCCATGGTTATCACAGCGGCCATGAACTCTTGAGCACCCCCATCCTCGCTCCCAAAGCATGGAAATTGAAATACAGTCTGGGGGGAGTCTATCCCCAGCTTAGCAATGAGGTAGCAACTAAAGGAGGGAGCAGCAGGAGGTCAGTACAGCACAATATGCTTTATACTTGTGCATCTTGTGTTATAAAGGGAAAATATATAATTGTAAAATACTCCCAAGCATACAAACAGTACAAACCTAGTCTATATTAATCAAGGAAGATAATTGCTGAAGAAAATGACACAACAAATGAGCTTCCTTTATATAGCAATGGCTTCATGTTTGCAAAGTTAAAGACTTGTTAAACTTTTTAGAGCTTTAGCTATACACAATGATTCAGTTGTACTGAACTAAATTGTATTTATAGCCTTCTTGTAAGCTCTCAGATTTTCTAGACGCTTAACATTTCAAAAGTGTTCTAGATTTCTAATACTAAATAAAAGATCCCTTTATAATGATACAATATTGCTAACATTAATTTGCTACTCATTGTACTTTACTCCACAAAAATGAAAGAGAAATTTGTAAATGGCACCAATTTTGTTTAGAAAAATAAATGTGTCCATAAAATCCGCTAATACATTGGTAAATGAAGCAGCGCTGCATTTTGCCTTTAACCTAATTTATTGAGATAGGATGGCAAGAATCAAAACTCAGTTATCAGAAATAGCTACATATCCTTCAGCTTGATTAACTGTTGATAATACTACATACTGCAATATTGTATCATTAGTAATGATCATTCTTGATTTTTGTTTCTCAGAAGTCAACCAGCATGACCTATATCCCAAGTTCTTACCTTCCAATATTTCCCAGTCAGTTGCAAAAATAGAGCAAAAACAAATAGAACCACAATGATAAATATAGAAATGTTTAAAATAAAATGAATCCTTCATAGGCATGGAAAAAATAATGTGTCATTTGTCTCATGTTAAAAAGAGAGAGGGAGGAACAGCTATGATTTTTGCAAGAGGAAATTCCCAAGCCTTTTTCCCAGTTGTTATCAATTTCACCTGAGTTGCTGTGAACCTCTATAGTGGGTGTCTGAAGAGACTGCGTGGGTAGCTTTATGGATGTAGAAATTAATTCAGATATGCAAGCCGCAAATTATATTGCATTTTATAGAACTAATTACTGTTTAAATTGTACATATGAGTGATCAGGCAAGCCAGTTGAGTACCATAGAGATGTTCCCAATTAAAAAGCTCTTGGAATTCAAATTTTTAATACATTGTATAATAATATAAGAAAGACATGAAAACAATAACATAACATATTAAACAAAATAAGCCAACTGGATTAGAAAGTTTTATATCATATTTTATATTTGAGCATATAGCCATAACATTTCCAAACATTGTCCCATCTTGTTTTCTGTTCAGATAATACTGAACATCATGTGAAGATAATTGTGACAGGATACATGCAGTGCACCAAACCACAATTTTCTAAGCCAAAAGTAAAAAAGCCACATTACAGCTTAATATGATGTACAAACCAAACACTCATCATAAATCACTTCAAAACTGAAGAAATTCCTTTTAAAAATGTCAACAGTTACTAGATAAAAATTAAAGTTGCAGTTCTCTGCACTCTGAAGACTTTTCCCCATAATCATTCTATTCCTTCAGTCCCTGAGCTGGCCAAAAAAAAGTATGTGAATATAAAGTGAAGTTTCCTGAAGTCAGAAGTCTGGCTCATCAATAAGGTCAGCGTGTGGTGTTCTCATTACAATTTTGATGCAAAACAAGTTGGTTTCTCCAGTTGTTTGAGCATCATCTTCTAGCAAGAAAACCACCACCACTTTCCTTAATGTGCAATGGAGTCAGGTTGGACAAATATAGGTGGGTGCCTGGGACAGAGGAAGCCATCTTTTAAGTTGCCTGAATAACAGACTGCCAGTGTGGAATGCCAGCAACCAATTAATTGAGCCATTTTTGAACACAGGTCTAGTATTCTTCTGGTAGAGCACTAAACTCAAAACTAGACTGATAGGTCATGGGTATAGGTAAGAAGTGCAAGGAAAATTCCCTTCTTCATCCCACACCCATCTCCTCACCTGTCAACTAGTCTAGGATGGACATGGGTTTAGTACTCTTCATTAGACCTGCATACAGAAATAGCCTGACCATAGTAGTAGTTAATACAAGGGAAAATAGAACGCAGTTTCTACTGAAAGCTTCCGTGTTCAGTCTTTTTTAATTACTGAAGCACAGACATCCAGTGGTGGAATTCAGAACTTATATGTAGGTATAATTGAATATGTACTGAAATACAACAGAGGCTGAGTTCACGTAGGACTTTTCCTTATGGTTGAAGCATTTCCATTCTCAGGATTGTGAACTGTGAATTATTTGGTTTAGCCTGAATGCAGCTACTGTGATTTATGACTTAGCAAAATGTACGAGCCACTCATTTGGCCAATTCAGCAAATTATCGCTAAATAATTTATTAGAACAATGCTGGAATTATGCCAGGCATCATCATCCGATCCACAAAACCTTGGGTGTAAATAAATTTGAACATCTCTGAGGCGCCAAAAAACCGGTGCGTTTTTCTTCTATTTACTTATGTTCACAGGGCGGTATCCTCCGGAAGCTTTCTGAGTTCACATAACACGCCACCCATACGGTAGTTTAAAAATTAACCTAATCGCCAACGTTTGCACAACGCCCTGAATAGTATTTTAATTTAGTTCACTCATAAGACCTGAAGCTTATTAGTGTCTGGGTTCGCTAGGCCAAAACGTGGCTCGGTGCATCTTGCAAACACAGGCGCTGACCCATAAAACAGCCACCCTCAGTGAGCCGAATCGCACTTAGCCCTTTGCAATGCTGCCGAACCTAATTCTGAGAGGAGAAAAGCGGCCCACCCCCTCTCCCTCATCACCGCCAATGCACAAAACAGGCTCCTTCTCTTTCTACCCGCCCGTTCCCGCCTGGGAGGCTGTGACGTCACCCCGCGCAGCGGAAGACTCCTCCCCCTGCCCTACTCCTTTCAGTTCCCTGACCGAGTTTCGGGGTGTCTCGGGCCTGGCCTGGCCCGGCTCCCTCTGGCGGCGCCGAGCGTCCCGGGCTGAGCTCCAAGGCAGCGCTGGGAGATGTCCCGGCCGAGCAGCGTCTCGCCCCGGCCTCCGGGGAGCGGGCCCACAAGCGGAGGCCCCTCTACCGCCTCTTCGTCGTCCTCCTGCTCCGGCGGCGGTCGCGCCAAGGGGCTGAAGGATATTCGTATTGACGAAGAAGTGAAAATCGCTGTGAATATCGCTCTGGAGCGGTTTCGGTATGGGGACCAGCGAGGTAACGGCTCCCTACACCGGAGGTGACCCATAGTTGATGGGGTCGTTCCTGCTTTGAACCAGGGCAGTGGGAGGGCAGCTCCCGAGACAAGCCAACTCAGTGTTGAAGGTTTGCAAATTAAGAGGTCCTTCCTGTAGGGAGCTGTTGGATCTCCACCTGGTTGGTCTGCAGCGCTTTCTCAGTGTATCTGGCAAACGCATGAGAGTTGTGGTGGTTCAACACAGCTGGAGGGTGTCCCTTATGAAGACTTAATGGGAATAACCAATTGCTGGTGAAGCAGTTACCTTTGTTATTGTTTTATCCTTGGGGTCAAAAGCGATATATTTATGTTGTGTAACACAAGGGGAACCTTACCTCCTTACATTAGTTCCTCTGTTTGGCTAGGAAAGTACAGATGTCTTGGTTGTTGATTGTAGTTGCTGCAGAAATAGTGTTTTATCTGTGCAGCAATATACAGCATTTCTCAAGGACAACAGTCAGTCTTTTTTCATCCATTACTCACCTAGGGTCTTTCATTCTCTCTTGCAACAAACAGGGCAATTTTCCCCGCTCCATTAATCTCTCTTAAAATAATTTTAATCAGATCTTTTGATGCAGAGCTGTCCATTCTGATAATCAGGACCCTTTCAGACATTCAGAAATAAAAGGTTTTTCTGTAGTTTTATATCTGAGCTATATTAAGGAGAGATTAAATATCAGTTGAATCATTTGGCTCTGACATTTACCATTTTTATGATATATGTGTGTGTGTGTGTATAAACCAAGATCAAGTGGCAGATAAATAAGATGCTGCAGCATGTTTCCAATCATGCTGTCCTCTATACTTTGGAAGTTAACAGGCAAGGCATGATGGTCACAGTCAACCCTTTTGTTTGTTATCAGGCCCTGGGTACCAAGCATATCTTGGTTCAAGAATTCATTCAAGAATTTATATAGTTCTTTGGTATAATAATATTGTTCATAGATCCATTAATTTATCTAATACTTTAAAAGTCATGTAAATAGAAGTAATTTCCAAATTTAGCATGCAATACTTCCTTCATTTTCTCCCCAGTGTATTACTAATCAAATTTGTTAGTTGACACATGGTATAATCCTGTGCGGTCTACTCCGAAATAATCTCCATTGAATTCAATGGAATTGTCCCAGATGAGACATCCCTTCTCATCCTTGAGAAATGTTTTTTCCTTTTTTTGTGAATGAAAAAAATCCCAATGGCTAAATACTCCTATTATGATTTCTCCTACAGAAATGGATTTTCCTTCATCATTGACCAGTACTGAGAGAGCTTTTATTCATCGACTAAGTCAATCTCTTGGTTTGATTTCTAAAAGTAAAGGGTAAGTTGATATCTTATAACATAATACAGTTTACATGTATTTGAATGAACGTGGATCATTCAGAATTAATGTTTCTGGTTCAATTGCAGTTTTAAGTTTCTGGAATGTTTTGATGCTGTTGAGTTCTTCTTGAGGAGCTTGGTGTGCTTCTGTTTCAAATAGTGCCACATACATTTACTATCAGACTATATTGCTTTCAAGTTCTTGTGCATAATTCCATGTTTAGATTATAGCCACTGGCTATTGATAATTTATCCTTTGTTGCTGCAGTAAATATATTCATTTAGATTTTATACTATTTTATTATAATGTTAAATAACTCCAGAAAATGACATTCTTATATTGATAAAGATATTTAACATATAAATTCTGTAGAAGTTTAGGAATAAAATGCATTGAAGTGAGCTGGACTTGCTTCTAAGTAAATATTGTTAGGATTCAACTATAGGTTTTCTGATAATTGAATATGTAAAAATACTTAGTCTATTTTATTCTGGGGATCTCTGTTAGAGGCTAAAACTATATATGATTGTTGGAATAAGCAAAATGAAGTTTATTTCCTTGGTTATAAATAATTGTGGTACTCAATCATGATTTCAGTAGATGGCAGCACATGACTGAGTTTGGAGGGTAAGTAGGATTAGCCCTGGTTAGTATTGGAATGGAAGATCACCAGGCAATTCCACAGACTAGACTAGGAAGTTGAAAACATCTCAGAAGTGGGAAGCTTCTATGAAGAAGTCTACATGGGTGTATCAGTGAAGATATCAAGATTCAAGTTCATTTAAATGGGACTTTACATTTACTCTTATATGGTTCTCATTAGTAAAATCTTAGATGTTCCTAAACAGTTATTAATGTTTTAAAAAGTATGTGTTTAGATAGCCTCTTATATTATAAAAGCCTTGTCATAGAAAACAATTCAATTCTAAATATTTTAAATCCTATACATAGACATTTATACTACACATCATTTAAAATACAGTAGGGCTTCGTTGTACTCAGCTGTGTTCTTGATTGCATTTCACAGTAGCTGGTTTGTGCACTGGTAATTCAGAAATAATCATAAACCCTTAAAGAGAGCAAATTGAACAGAGAAACCTCATAATGCTGCACCTTCTTTCAGCTTCAGATCAGCACTAGAAATGAACAAAATCTAACCCTCAGTAAATTAGATTAAATAGCAGAGCCAACTTTTTAAAAATAAATGCCTTCTGTACCAGCAGAACACATATTAAGACTAAAATAACGTCTAGGAGCACGGAGTTTCACATGTAGTTACTGCCCTCTAGCATTTAACCATGCTTCTACAGCAAGCGTTCATAACCTGTAAAACATACATACTGAAGCTACCATTTTGAAATGTATATACTAAAAACCAAGACACAGTCAAATCATGATCTGAAAATGAAGCTACTATAATATTTTAAGATAACCAAGTATTAGTACCTTTTAGAGGTCAATGACTTCCTAGAGAGCCATAATAGCTGAAGTGATCTTTCTGAAACAACTGATTTGACCTATGTTTAAAGACACAGTAATTTGTTAGTAGAATTTATTTCATGTATTCATTGCTCCTGGCATATTTTAATATTTTTGAGACAATTATTTCATGTCTAGGTATTCTGATTAATGTGCATGCATAAAGATGGTTCTTGATGATAAATTCAAAAATGCCTCAATGTTGCAGGAAAGGAGCGAACAGATACCTGACTGTGAAGAAAAAAGATGGATCCGAATTGGCACATACAGTGATGACCTGTAATTTGATTCCAAACACAAAACATGCTATTAGAAGTTTAATACAGAGATTTCCTGTAACCAATAAAGAACGCACAGAACTTCTACCAAAGACAGAGAGGGGAAATGTATTTGCTGTTGAAGCTGGTAGGTTGAGTATACTCTGATATAATACAGTATATCATGGGAGAAAAAATATGTTGCTGAAAGATATGCTTAGAAATTGTTACCATTACAGTTCTAAGATTTTTATAAAGGTGATGGTTGCTATCCTAGTGAGTGTGAATTCCACCCTATGTTGATGATGCTGATTTGCCATTTCCCCAGTACTACTGTCTGTTGTTCTGAAGAGTTCTCTAAACTCCTAAAGAAGGAAGGGAGATTGGTGGAATGCTTCCCATCCTCTTTCATGAGTTCTAAGCAGATCTCTGGATTCAAATCCAGATTTTTCAATAGTAAGTAATAATAAAAAGTCACAGGAATAACTTCATAAGAAGTGGACATTAGGTGGAATTCAGCATTGTTCAAGTGCGAGTTCAGTACTGATCCCTTATTTCTCAAATTTTACTTTGAGGAGCTGGGCCTTATTGGATCAGATTGTGAAGAAATGTGAGGGGATATAGAAGGGAGCAGGAGTTGGTTTACTCCTGTTTTTGAGTCGAAACAGTAGCTGCTGATGTAGAAACATACAATTAGATACTACCCATCAAGAAAAATGTAAGGACCTAAGACTTCTATAACTGAGCTGCCTGCCCTTTGATTCCTCAGAAGCATTCCTGATTTTCCTAATACTGTACTTTAACACATATTTTAAACTGTTTTCATTCCAGAAAATTTGGTTTGAGGTTCTAGTTCTGTCTTAAAGTAGGACTGAACTTAGTTGTTTTCATTTTATAATCTGTACAGTATAATCTTTACAGTAAAAAAAGGTTAAACTCTAACAGTTTTCCTGTATTCAGCACCATACTCTACTCAGTTCTGTCAAGCCTTAAGCATGCAAACTTTTGGGAGACCATGTAGTTTGGTGGCCACACAGGAAACAATTCATCACTGGATTGTTGAGAGTAGTCCTCTAAAGCTTTCACCTGGAAGCTGCAAGACAGGTTATATTAGTTCTGGCTGTGATTGTCTAATCACTAAGCTGTTTAGTACTTTGATCTTTGGTTTGCCTGAGGTTTTCAGGAAGAAAATATAAATAGAGAATAGCTGTTTTGTGTCCATTGTGAAACAAATGGAATGCCTGTCTATTCTCAGGCTAAGCAATTCCTGTTTATTCACATTTATGTTCTACCAGTGTTTTATTTATCAAAGATATTGTTACAATATAAACTAATATATCAATTTAGTACTATTTTGCTGTGCAGTATTCAATTTCTATAACTAAATGGCTTATTTATTGTATGCTATTGTGGATAGATTTTTAGCTTAACATACTCATTATTTTTTCTTTTCCTAGAGAATAGAGAAATGAGCAAAACAAGCGGGCGTCTTAACAATGGCATCCCTCAGATCCCAGTGAAACGGGGAGAATCGGAATTTGATTCATTTCGGCAGTCTCTTCCAGTTTATGAAAAGCAGGATGAAATTGTTAGAGTTATTAAAGAAAATAAAGTCATTTTGATTGTTGGGGAAACTGGATCTGGAAAAACTACTCAGGTATGTAATACATTAGAAGTTAAAAAATATGGAAAAGCTGTCCTAATAGATAAAGAAATAGTCATAGTATTTTAGAATCGTTCAGATGGTAATATATGCTATGCGATTTGCATGTCCAGTTTTTTTCTAACATTAACACCAGTCTTTTTGTTCAGATACCTCAATTTCTACTTGACGACTGTTACAAAAATGGCATACCGTGCCGCATATTTTGCACTCAACCAAGACGGTTAGCAGCAATTGCTGTGGCTGAAAGAGTTGCTGCTGAAAGAAGAGAGAAGATTGGCCAGACTATTGGTTATCAGATCCGATTAGAAAGCAGGTCTCACCAAATGTTTTTTGTGTACTTGGATAAAAAGTATTTTAGAAGTCTTGCAGATTACTGATTCATGCAAATAACAAGCTTTAGAGATAACCTCATCCCTTGCTTTGGCACATTATACTTTTCCCTTTTGGTCCTATACCTCTATATCACTCTTTCTCAGAGATAAGAGAGAAGTTTGACTATTAACGCTATGTTGCATTATACCTATTAATACTAAAAGCATGTACTGTTTCCAAGTGAACATCTGTTGCATCATCTTCCAGGTCTGTTTTTTGGTAATGCTGCCTTCCAGAACTGCATGTTATCTCTGTGTATAATATAGACATAGATTTGTTGAGGAACCATATTGCATCCCTCATTGAATGAAATGAACCATTTCAGATTTTAAGGTTCCCCCTTCTAGCCTTAGATTTTGTGGAAGTAAGTTTGGAAAAGCATTTCCACCAGGTAGTATGTGCCTATGTTACAGATAAATTTCAAAAGAGGAATTATATGCAATGTGCCGTTTGTCTTTTGTTCTTGCTTAGACAGGGTTTTTCTATAATCCTTTATACAGTTTTTTCTTTGAATTAAACCTACACTTTAAAACAGGTCAAGTGGTCTTTCAGAATAGCACTGCACCTTTGCAATACAGTTTGTTCAGATTTTACCGTGTGGAAGTGATAGCATTGTGATTAGAAGCCTTTACATGTTCATGTAATTGTGCTTAATGTTTTTGTAATACAAAGTTCTTAAATAACTTTGTATTAACAGGGTTTCTCCAAAAACACTCTTAACATTTTGCACCAACGGTGTATTACTTCGTACACTAATGGCAGGAGATAGTGCATTGTCTACTGTAACTCATGTTATTGTGGTAAGTTTGACCAATTTTTTTTTTCAGAAATGGTATCCTTGTTAATGTGCAAAGCCTTTTTTATACCTAGGTTAAAATTATTAAAATGTTAACGTATAAACAAACTTTCTTATTAGCATATTAGTGGTCTTATTTATTTAATCAATTTCTAAGGATGCCTGTTCCCCTGTGACTCTGGTCTGGCTTTATTGAACATATATTACTTTGAGGCACTTGCACCTAAACATATGGACTCCAACTGAGGAAGAGGTTATGAATATTTTTTTTTAGCTATAGATGCATTGCATAGAATTTGATTATTATACTTTTTATATCTATAGTAGATTCTAAAGCTTGAATACCTGCATACTAGAATGAAATATTTTTACTAATGTTTGTAAGTTTGCATTGCGAAAGAATTGATTGATAAATTGACAATAATGTAATCCTCATTATTTTAAATTATTTTGAAATTCTGATTATTTTGGCTTTAAAGTGCTTTGATAAAAACATTTATCTTCCAATATGAACATACTTGGTACCTATAGGTTTGTCAGTTTTTTATGAAAGCATATAATTTTCTATGTTCAGCAGATTTCTATACTTTAATCAGAATATGAGACTTAAGGAACAGTTTGCAAATGAGCCGTATAGAATTTGGGATTCTGATTGATTTTTTTAAACTGCCTTTTGGATGACAGCTTGAATACCTAAAGGCAAAACACTGCATAAAGTCACAACATAGGGCAGCAGGATGAATTATGTGTTGATTGTTGGCAGTGTTAATATTAGATGGGACAATGGCTGGAGAATTCTGGGAGCTGAAGCCCATACATTGGGAGCATGCACAAGGTAGGGAAGACTAATATAGACCAACAGATATGAAAACCAATATTTTTAGAACAATGCAGTAAAAAAAAAAAAACCCTACCAAAAGCATAGTTTCAGTATAGTAGCCATTGGTCATTGTGATGAGTGCCAATAAAGATTTAAAAAGCATGACCGTTATTTCTACTATCATCTGTTCCATATCAGGGGTTCTGAAACTTTTTGGCCAATGGGTTCATTGGAATTTTGAGAGCCATGGCTGCCATAGGGCAAATATTATGGATGATAGTCATGTTAAATTTATATATAAATAATGAGCTATGTATAACTGAGGTTTTGGCAAGAGGTAAACAACTCCAATTAACAGATGGCAACAAGAAACAAATTACTTTATGTGATGTAACAAAATGCTCAGGTTTTGTTACAAAAAAAACCCTGGCTTGTTTATGTTGCAGGATGAAGTCCATGAAAGAGATCGATTCAGTGATTTTTTGTTAACAAAATTAAGAGATATGCTACAAAAACATTCGTCATTAAAACTCATACTTTCTAGTGCTGCTCTTGATGTGAACCTCTTTGTCAGATATTTTGGAGGCTGTCCAGTGATATATAGTAAGTTCAAATGTTAAAAGGAATCCCATTATTAATTATAGTTCAAGAAAATATATACTACTCTCTCTCTCTTTGTGTCTACTATGGTATATACCAAACCTTGGAAACAGTTCTGTATCAATTGTAATCTGAGGATCTGTGTGAAAGATACGGGTATTATTGATACTGATTTGCTGTTTTTCTCTTTGAAGCACTACTGCTGAACTTGGATTTCATTTTTATAACATATTAGTGTTTTGACATGGTATATTTTTGAAAAAAAAGTTCGGAATCCCTTAGTTGTGATATAGTATTACAATTTCTTAGTTTGAATTCTGAGTATATAATCATCATTACATATGCAGAAATAAACAGTATTTGGATATAAAAAAAATATTATTCTCAGTATATATTAAATGGAATTTAATTTAATTGGGCAAAAGTTTATCCTAAGATTTTTTTTTTTCAGTTGCTGAAGTAGCAATCTAAAGAGACCATTGTGATAATGAATAGGAACAGAATGGGACAAGAAACAGAAGACATTCTGCAATGCTGGAATTCAGAAATAGCTTTTAGGTCATTAGAGAATAAATAGACATTCCAAAAAAAAAAAGAGAGAGACACTGCTGAACAGGAGAGAAGAGGTTGCCTCTCTGCTTGAATAGTAGAAGAGGTATAACTGCTATTTGCAAGAAGATAAAGACAAGCTGTAGTAATTGTTATTATCCTATTGTGAGGTTTAGAAACTAATGTATGCTGGCCAGACTTACTGGCTTATGAAGAATTATTTCTCATCTTCCAAGAATATGGACTAGGGATGTGCTGAAACAGCTGCCAAGACTTCTCAAGCCTACTGACTTCTTGTTCATAAATATAGGTGACACATGTTATTAAAGTTGCAGTGACCTCACCTCAGAATTTGAAATTTTGGGGTTAGATTTAGGAAATTTTAGGAAGGAAGATTCTGAAGAGTTTGTGGGTTCAGATGGTATCATTCCAGTCTATGGAAGAAGATTGGAAGGGAAAGCTGCAAGTGAAATGACTAGCTGTAGAAAAGGTGCCAACAGAAGATTGATCGATGATTGATTGATTGTACCATGATCTGCATTACTTGTATGCTGGCATGAAATGGGTTGCACTTCACAAAGGCTGGAAAGACTATATTAGGAAAAGCTTAAACAGTTTTGTGGAGATTGGAGACAGAGCCCCAAAAGTCAGGTGCAGATTTATGCAGTGTAGGAATAACTAAAGTGGGGCCTATTAAAATGATTCAATGAAGATTGATAAAAACATGGATACTTAAGTGTGTTACCATTACCTACATGTCAATCCTCAGCTCACTGAAAATGAGCAATACGGTTAGTACAGGAAGACATATTAACAGGTGGTGTGGAGATAGGGACTACCTACTAAGGTTTATCTTGGTGGACTAATCAAGTCATTACTAATCAAGTCAGTTAAGCATGAGACATACTTTGACTTGAATAATATTTTCATTGAAGTTTGCTTCACTTGATCACTTTATCATGCTTGGTGGACGTATAAAAAAGCTAGAAGATTTTGAGTTCAAATGCATAAACTGATTCAGAGGATTTTAAAGATTAATATACAACTGAAACCAGAATTTTTCCTCTTGAAACTGATGGATAAACAATTGGAAAAATGTCATGAAACTTTGTTTTTATATATGATAACTGCAGCGAGATTATTGTATGCATAAAGATGGAAAGATTTGGCAATACTACAATGGAGTAATGGTTGGTGAAGCTGATAGAACATGTTGAGAAAGAGGTAGATCTGCAATTTTACTTATAAGTGCTGTAAAGAAGATTGGAAGCCACTTTCTCCTTTTTTATTCTATTCTATTCTGTTCTGTTCTGTTCTATTCTGTTCTATTTTTTTTCTTTTTCCACTTTACCTTTCTCTTTTATTTTTTCCTTTTTCTTTTTTCCTTCTTACTTTTTTAGTTTGTATTAATTTTTACTCTTGTTTTTAAAACTTTCAATAAAACTATATTAAAAAAAGATGTTTAGATGTTCTCTAAAAACATATGTGTTTATTACAATTCATTATTGACAGTTCTGAATGAACTCTGGATATTTATGATGTTTGTGTTTCCAGTTCCAGGAAGACCATTTGAAGTAAAGGAGATGTTTTTAGAAGACTTATTAAGAAGTACAGGCTATACAAATAAAGAGATGATCAAATATAAAAAGGAAAAACAGCGAGGTGGGTATCTATTTTTGCAGACGTTGGAAAATAAATGTTTTGATTGATATAAAAAATTGAAAAAGGGGGTGGGGAGGTGCTATAAAATGCAGTGAAAACCCTAGCAAGCAAAATCTGTGCACTTAATCTTGACTTTTTTCTTAATGCAAAACGTAAATACGTTATCTAGAAGAAAAACAACAGACAACTTTGACTGAGTGGTATTCCGCACAAGATAATAGCAAACCTGAATTGCAACGACAGAGGGCAGTTCCAAATGTAGCTGAAGAATATGAGCTGCTGGATGATGGAGGTGACACAGTCTTCAGTCAATTGGTATGCACTATTCTAAGATCTCCAATATTTTATATTGGATTTTATATTTGACAGGAATGGTTATGAAACAGAAACAGTGTGCCTAAGCTCAAGCTGTGCCAGTGCTCATCAAACTGTTTGGTATATCCTTTTCACAGACATCTCTATAAGCATGTCTGTGTTTCTAACTGTACAGAAATGTTAGAAGACAAGTCAGATCTCTGCTTCAACTTTCCACATTATATTCTATTGTGTTTTTCAATTTTTGCATAAACTTTCATGATTTTATCATTCTGTCTCTTAATTGAGTTCATCCTTTATTTACTCTGTATCCTATAAAGTTGAATCCATATAAATGAGGAAGCAGTTTATATTGACATAGCTTAGGATATGCATGGATCTGTCCTAACTTTACAGTAGTAAACAGCATTGAAATTGTAAGGTTTAGAAAGCAGCACTACTTAAAAGTTTTGAAATTCTAAAACTTTTGCCAATTTCAGGATATATGACGTAGTGATTTTAAAAAATGCTTTTCAAGAGTTTCCAAATAATGTTGAAATGTATTTTTATTTACAGGCTGAAAAAGATGTGAATTGTCTTGAACCTTGGCTAATTAAAGAAATGGATGCTTGCCTTTCTGATATTTGGCTGCATAAGGATATTGATGCTTTTGCACAGGTGTTTCATCTTATTTTAACTGAAAATGTCAGTGGTAAGTTCACACTAGTAATTTTTTTACTGAATGACTTACTGAGATATTTAATCATAAATGGCCATGCCATTTGACTGAAAAATAATCCAGCTCTGGTTTCTTGGAATTCTGAATAATAATTTTGAAATGTTTGATTATTCCTGAATAAGTGGGCTATGTGACTCATGAATCATCACCATTTTTTCCAGTATCTGTGTTTTCTCAAATAATGAAGCTTGATCTTGAACAAGCTGTCTAATAAATGTGCATAGAATTGTACATAACAGCCAAAATAATTAATATTTGGTTGATTCAATTTTTAATGTTTTGTAAGAATAGCAGAATATTTTGACAATCTTGAAAGAATAGTAAAAAGTCTAAGCAATTCATAAATAACATTCTAAAACATATACCCCTGCCATTCTCCCCCTCTCCCCAGTTGATTACAGGCACAGTGAAACAAGTGCAACAACATTAATGGTAGCTTCTGGAAGAGGTTTCTTGAATCAAGTAGAACAGCTGATTGGTATGGGAGCAAATGTTCATATCAAATCATCCAATGGCTGGTAAAAATATCAATTTTTTACATTGTTTCTGGGGGGGTCATATGGATATAAAAGTGTATGTTGCGGGGAAAAGAGAAGAGATTAATTCTAGTATTTGATTAATATTTCTGTTTCTGATCTTGCTTTAATATGTAGTATTCATCAATGCCAAAAATAATTTAATATCTCAAAAGTAAGCCTGACACAGAATTTAACTCAACTTGGAAACCATTCCTGGATTATAATTCGATATATGGATTTGTATCCTATCTGAAATTTGGATTTTTCTTAACATAAAGTCTTAATATTCCACCTCTAAAGTTAAATCAGAATACATCTTCAGTAGCTTGGCTTGCTGATTACTGCTGTTGACTTTTTATATATTGCTTGGATTTTAACAACAAATTGTAGTTTTCAAAACAATTTAATATATTTAGTTACTTAAAACTGGTATTGAAATACTGAAAATTATTACCTAATTCTCTGATGCTTGTAATTTTTTCTTTTTTTCAAAACGCTTAATAAAAATATAATTTAAAAATATATAGTATCACGGAAGGATATTTTTCTAATACTCTGATATTAATCACAGCTTTGAAATACATAGTATTATAGATATTTTGAAGTCAAAAGCCTGAAGTTTAACCAATACATTGGAACATGGCAAGAAGGAAAAAAGGATAATATTGGTCATGACTTATTGAAAGATGTAATATACTAAAAGTAACATAATTTATATAAAAAAACAGTTGGTTAACTTATATCTTTCACCTTCACTGTGCGCATTATTTGATTGATTATGTGCCATCAAGTCGGTCTTGACCCTTAGTGACCACATACAGTGGGGCAAAAAAGTATTTAGTCAGCCACCAATTGTGCAAGTTCTCCCACTTAAAAAGATGAGAGAGGCCTGTAATT